GACAACAGTCAAATGTTATATTTATTTCGAAAAATGCTAAGGAGACTCTCTTTTAAAATGGATCTCTTTATAAACTCTTTGTCATCTAATATTTTAACATCAATTCTCGTGTCAAGATTATAAAACACTATGACACATGAGATGACAGAGAATCCATGAAGAGTCTCACTTTTTTTTTGAACAAACGATATTATTTACGTTAAGAGAACTAAGTTTTATAGTGGATGAGTTATAATAATGTAGTTCAAAGACGAGAATCAAACATAATGCATCTCATTTACTGATAAAGAAGAATAACATTAGACCATTGTTCCGTCCACTTTCTCCTTAGCATTTCTCTTTTGTTTTTGGGACAGAGCGGTCAAATCATAAAGGTTACCGTTATTTCCGTAAGCAAATTTTTTATCCATCCCTGTCCATTGTCCCATCCCAATCATATACTTTCTACTCAATCACAACATCTTAACCCACCTTATAAGTTGACCAAATTGCCACTAAAATAATGGTTTTTCTATAAAGTACCTCTCCCAATGCTTCTTTCTTTGAGTCCCGAACAGTCACGATTAAGTCACAAAATAACATTATGTGCAGATTTTTTTTATAGAGAAAAAAAAAAAACGTTAGAGAAGAGTGGAGGATTTAAAGGGCAGAAAATTCTACTCCTCTAGAAGTGGCAAAGGACAGAAAGCAAACCATGCTTCAAATGGAAATTTGTCAAGGCATCAATGCGCATCCTGAAAAGTTTCCAATCACACTGTCACATGATATCACAAATTTATTAATGTCATAATATCTCACTCCACTTTTTTAAATTATAAACCAGAATGATAACAAGTGCGAGTTTAGAGAAAAAAAAACCAATTTATATGACACATGTATACTATTATTTGTCATTTCGTAATAATATAATGTTATGTAAAGAGAAATTTACACATATCGTTGTATTAACCACGATCGCGGTGTAGCCCTATCCTGTAAAGATGCAAAGGAAGAGGAAACGTGAGCCGTGAGTTTCAACCTTAACGGTGATTAAAGCCCTAGTGCGTATCGCGTGGCGTTGGTAACAATATACACGCGCACACAGCGAACTTGCTCTCCGTGATGACGGAACTGAAAAGCAAAGACTCACCGCTATATCAAATCCGACGCCAAAGGAGCAAAAGCAAAACCAACGAAACATAAGATATGGTAATTTAAACGGCTCAAACACCTCTCTCTCTCTCTCTCTCTCTCTCTCTCTCTCTCAGTCTATTACGCCGCCGACACCGTAACGGTTCTTCGAGCCTTTCGTCGGCGTCGTTCTCCCGCGGCGGCGATCTCCGAACTGTCCGGCGATTCGAGTTTTCTGTTAACTCTCTCACTGCTCAGTGCCTGCTTTCAATCCGCTGATTCCGTTCAAATTTCAAATTAGTCTTCGAGCGGTTCTCTCTCTCTCTCTCTCTAAAACTCTAATTGTTACTGTTTATTTTTTGAATATTTTCGTGAACCGATTTTATTTCATGAAAAATGAGATTGGATGATACGTGGATTCTTATCAGCATCAGATTATTGCATTCATAATTTCCCTTTAGGAAATTAAATTGTTTTTTTTTTTTTGCCTTTTTTTCTTTATTTTTTTGCTTTTAGTTCTTGTAATGCGTATGTTGTCTCCAAATGTTAAGAAGTTTTAATTTCTGTGCGGTGTAATCGTATGCTTCAGTGGCTGTTCTTACAAATCTGATCGTTCACTTAGCTCAGTTGAATTTGAATTTGAAGAATTTGAATTTCGGATTTTGTTAATCCCAAATTCAAATCCAAGCTTAAGTTCAACTGAGCTCACATACATTTTCGTTTTGGTTTCCAGGGATTTAGAATATATTCAGGTCAAATACTTGACAAATTCCTCGAAACCGAAGCGAAAACAACGTGCTTGAAGATCAACATTTCTGAATATTGTATCAGCTTTACCTATTGTGATTTTGTTCTGCTCTTAATTTGTTGAATGGTTATGTTGATCGAAAACAAATTCATCCTGTTCTGCTGCTAAAGTTCAAGAAGTATATCCGAAAATTGAAATGTTGTATCTCGAAAAATCGGGAGTTGTTTGGTATTGAAGTGAGCAATTTTATGTTTCTTTTCGTGTATGACCAAGCGGTTATTTTCGTGTATGGGCAGGTACGCAAAAGATGATAGGATCCTTTCTAACCAGAACACTTGTGTATGTGAATGATTGACCCTCGCTTTCTGGTTGCGTTTCAAAGGACGTTTGATTATTGTCAAATTCTGACCTTCCCCGTTTTCCATGTTGGCACTTGACAGGATGGCTCTTGGCTATGCTTATCCAGCTTATGAGTGCTACAAAACTGTTGAAAAGAATAAGCCGGAGATTGAGCAGCTTCGCTTTTGGTGCCAGTATTGGTATCAACTGCGTCTTGTGTCTAAGATAGTTATCTATTTGTCCTTGTGATTCGTAGCGATGACCTGCTTTTCATCCTTGAATTTCAGGATTTTGGTGGCTGTTTTGACTGTATGTGAGAGAGTTGGTGATGCTTTTGTTTCCTGGTAGGGGATTTGTGTTTGGATGTTGCGAGATTTCAAATATGCTTATTTTGTGCCACTTCGTTGTCTCATTCTTTTTTTTTTTTTTTTTGTTGTTGTTGTTTGTTTGTTTCGTGCAGGGTTCCCATGTATAGCGAAGCTAAGTTGCTCTTCATTATATATCTGTGGTTTCCGAAAACAAAGGTACAGGATTCCGTAAGGGATTTTGGACTGAGATTATTAGCTTATTTAATTGTTTGTTTATCAGTATAACTTTCCTTATACTCACACAACTATCTCTGTGTTGCAGGGAACGACCTATGTGTATGATTCCTTCTTTAGACCATATCTTGCGAAGCATGAAAATGAAATTGATAGGAACTTGTTGGAACTAAAAACTAGAGCTGGTGACATGGCCATTGTGTATTGGCAAAGAGCTGCAAGCTATGGTCAGACGAGAATATTTGATATCTTGCAGTATGTTGCTGCACAATCGACACCAAGGCCTCGCCCTGCTCAGGTACGATGACATGATTTGGACTTGGTGTTTTCAGTTTTACCATTATGTCCCATCATTATTGATTGCAACATCTCTGGCCACCCAGTCAGTTGGAGCAAGTTATCAAAACGTTATTGTCCTTTTATCATCCAGATGTTGATTTTTTTGTGCATGTTGAATTGTTATGTTGGCATTTTAATTCTAGGCTTTGCCTTTTCACCATCTTGTCTTTAAATTAGTCCTTTCAAGTACTTGTTCAAGGTTATTTTGTTTGAACTTCGGGATATTGTGTGTGTTTATATATATTTGTTCATTTAGTTACAGATGATCGTTCATGCCTTGGGGAGGTTGGTACCGGATTGAAAGTAATGCTTTGTTGTTTCATGAGTTATTGATTATACGTCGCATCTCTTTTGTACCCTGCATTCTGGTATGCGTGCGTGCATCTTGCCTTCATTGCACGATATTTATTGTTTATTATTACCATATAGGCCGTACTGCGCTATACAATGTGGAACCGCTCATCAAGGAAAAAATTATAACAAGGTTTTTGCCTCTGCTGAAAAAGTTACTCTTGAAATTGCAGTCACAACAAGGTGTTAGGCGCCCACCCCCTGCTGCTCGCCAACCCACCACACCACCTCCAAATCGCCAGCCAGCTGCAACTACGCAATCACAACCCGAGGAACCACCATCTCCCACTTCCAGTACTTCTTCAAGCAAGGACCAAAAGGAGATAGTGGAAGCCTTAGCACCATCACCAAAGCCTAAACCTGCCCCTCAAACGGCAGGTTCAATTACTCAAAAAGCCACAGCAACAGCAGCTGCATCTGAATCATGTAGCCAAACCACCCCAACTGAAGAGGCTGCAACGACGCAGACTGACGCAGCGCCATCCTCTTCGGCACCTGAAGAGACAAATCCTCCCCCGAAAGAGACGGTCATGGAGGAAACCATTCGGGCCACACGTGGAAAGTTGAGGAAAGCACGCTCTGCAGGAAGCCGTTGAAATTACACATTTTTAGAATTGCGTAGGTGGACAACGATGGTTCTTTGAATTGTTGCTGTAACCGTGATGTAAATTTGGCATCCTCTGCTTTCTATTTCATTCGTTTTTTGGTCGCTGGACCGTGGACCGGTCTGATGTTTCACAGGGCAGTTCAAACATCAAACTCGCATATTGCTTCAATTGCACTCGGGATGTCAAAGTGACGGTATTTCAATCTAACAATGCGGTGTCGTGTGAAAATGTTCAGTACATTGGCACCTATGGTTGGATGGTACACAAACACAAGGGGCGTCCTCCTTATGTGAGAAATTTTTAAGTATGCCGAAAATATGGCTCGGTACACCATGTGTCATAATACAATTGATTGGATTTTTTTTCAAGTTTCTAATCAATTGTCTTATTACACTTTGTACGCTAGACTGTGTTTCTGGCACATTGGAAAATATGCCCCTTATATGAGGGCAAATTTTAAGGTTCACTCGTCAAACACAGAACAAGACCCCCATGTGTTGCCTTTTGTCCAGCTCTTACCCATGGTACCACTCGATTTTGTGGAAGACATGTGCAATCGAATGGACATAAGTTTTTTCTTCTTTATAAGAATGATCTGACTAATCACGTGATTAGACTGTCCTACCGAATTTTCTTCTCACGTTAAAAAAACTCTCTTATTTGAGGGCGAATTTGAAGGTTCACTCGTCACACACAAAACAAGACCCCGGGTATTGCCTTTTGTCCTGTTCTTACCCATGGTACCACCCGATTCTGTTCAAGCCATATACAATCGATTAGACATAAGTTTTTCTCTTTGTTAAGAATGATATGACTAATCACGTGATCAGACTGCCCTACTGAAATTTTTCTCTCACGATTCAGATGGGTTGGACGCATCTAAATGGTATTGAGCTTCCATACAACTTATTCAAATTCCAAAGAATTTTCTTTTAGTTTTGTGTTTTTTGGTTTTTTTATAGCTAGGGAGCCACGTAGGAGGAACGTTGAGTTTGTGATAGGAAAAGCTTTCAACTGTTTGGTGGCTGAAACTAGAGGCAACTGCCAACCCCACATATCCAAACTCCATCGCTCCGCATTCGCCGGAAAATTGACGTGGAAATGCCGCAAGCACCGTCACTTCCCCGCCTCCACTCTCCCTTCCTCTCTTGCCCCCTCAAGCTCTCCACCTCCCCTTCTTCCTTACGCGTGCCCCACAAGTTTGCAGGAAATCAACGGTCGCCAAAGTCGCATCCATGCATCAGAGCCATTGATCTCGATCAAAACACGGTTTCCGTTCTTTCCCCCGCTCTTTCTCCTTCCAAAATCTCGATTTCGAACGGTTTTCTTTTGGAATCTGACATAAGCATGAATTTCCAGGTAGTGGCAATCTCAGTAGGGTTTGCGAGTGTTGCGGTTGGGATTGGCATTCCGGTTTTCTACGAAACACAGATCGACAGCGCTGTGAGTCCTTTTGATTCGGTATCTAAATACGATTAATTAAGTAGTTTGTAGATAATTAATTTAACATTAGTAATGCTAACTGCAGGCTAAGAGAGACAACACTCAGCCATGCTTCCCCTGCAACGGAACTGGCGCTCGTAAGTAATTAGCAAACTAATTTACTTGCAGCTATATTTTTTGGTGAAGCATGCAAAGTCTCGCTTCGGAAATCTTACAAAATAAATCACAACTTATTTTACGCGGTTTCAGTACTTATTGCATCGAGACCTTATTGAAAAAGAAAAAACCCGAACTGCACACGTGCTCAAGTTTGAAACAATATCGGTGTTTGAATTAGATACTCATGTGTCAACAACTCGTAGTTCCGGTACTCATGTGTCGTGCTGTTTAAGTCTCTGTCAGTGTCAACTGATGAAACTGGACGACCGTGCGTCGTTGTGTGTCTCAGAAAAATGCAGATTCTGCACGGGGAGTGGGACGGTGACAGTAGAGCTTGGCGGGGGCGAGAAAGAAGTGTCCAACTGCATCAACTGCGAAGGGGTCGGTTCGTTTACGTGCACAACGTGTCAGGGTTCCGGGATTCAACCTCGGTACCTTGATCGCAGGTACCATGATTCATATATTCGGGTCGTATTCGATCGATCAGTTATGCATGAACCTAAACTCATTCGTGTATATTTTGTGTTGGAACAGAGAGTTCAAGGACGATGACTGATCGAGGTCAGCTGGGATATTCGATTCTTTCTCTTACTTGTGTTTGTTGTTTTTCATGACTTTCATTTTCTTTATTCTTCTCTGTACAAGAGTATGCAAACAAAGATACAAGGACCTATTTTGTCGAAAGCGGTATTCTAAACTATGCTAATCTATTAGGAACGGAGTTTGAATTTCGATGAAAGGGGGTCTGAATTCAACATTAACTAATTGGTTTAATTCACCTTTGCATACAAATTACAATTACCAATCGTAAAATCCACAATTGTGAAACATAAATGTAGTCGCACTTACTAGAGCGGACGTGCTCCTCTTTGCACTCAACATTCAAATCCTCTCTCCATAATTTCAATTAGTTTAAAGTAAACTAGTATTTGCCTACACAATTTATGTGTATGAACACATTTTTTAAGAAAATGAGAAGGAGAGAGGGAGAACGTGGAGGGAGTGGGACGTTTTTGTTTTTAGTTTTTAATTTTTTATTATTTAATATTATAGGTATTTTAACATCATCTGTAGGTGCTTCAATAAAAAAACAGTAAAATTTGAATCTGTGAAATTACATTTTTGTGTGATTTCACCCTCTTTTGATTGACAAAGAGGATTTAATTAATTAATAGAGATTATCATCGGACAAGAGAAGGAAAAAAAAACTAAGTTGGGCTTTCACTAAAACGTTGATATTAATAAAATGAAAACTAACGAAAAATTGAAAAAAACCTTTAGTTTTAATGAAAAATGATAAATAAATGTGTAGTAAATAGTACAAAAAATAAAATAAAAATGTGGTTTTTTCGTTTAGAGTAACAGTACAACAAGTTTTTGGTTAAAACTCCGACTGTTGAATTGGCCTGTCTTCCTCTCTGGCCGCCTCTGGGTAGAGAGAGAGAACGATGTCGGATTGAGTTGGCAGCACCTGGCTTCCAAGTTCCAACTAGGGTTTTTGCAGGGTTCCAGACTTACAAACCAGCTAGAGAGAGAGAGAGAGAGAGAGAGAGAGAGGGAGAGGGAGGGAGAGATGTTGTACATTGTAGGACTGGGATTGGGGGACGAGAAGGACATAACTCTGAGAGGATTAGAGGCTGTGAAGAAATGCGACAAGATTTTCATCGAAGCCTACACTTCCCTCCTCTCCTTCGGCATCTCCTCCGACGGCCTCTCCACTCTCGTACTCTCTCTCTCTCTCTCTCTCTCCAATTGCTTGCAAAACTTGCTTAATTTTTCAAAAAGTTTGAACATTGTCAATGTGCAGGAAAAACTGTACGGAAATCCAGTGACACTTGCAGATAGAGAAACTGTGGAGGAAAGGGCCGATCAAATTCTAACTGCCGCCGCTGCTTCCGATGTCGCTTTCCTTGTCGTCGGCGATCCTTTTGGGTACGTCCTCTCTCTCTATCTGTTCAACTGGTAAAATCTTGTATGGTGTAGCAATTTGTTTTGAGCAGGATTTGAGGAAGCAATTTAAATTTAGTTCCCAAGAATGTTGGAATTATGATTGAAATAATAACGACTTATGTTGATCAATTGAGCTTTTTCCTTGCGTAATTCGATCTGTAACGCAGAGCTACGACACACACTGATATTGTGGTTCGAGCCAAGAAGTTGGGGATTGATGTCAAGGTGGTGCACAATGCGTCGGTGATGAATGCAGTTGGAGCCTGTGGATTACAACTCTACCACTACGGAGAGACGGTTTCGATACCATTCTTCAGCAATACATGGAGGCCGGATAGCTTTTATGAGAAGATTCAGAAAAATCGTGCGCTTGGGCTGCATTCGCTATGCTTGTTGGGTTGAGTTCTAGATACTTGCTTAAAAAGTGACACCGCTGACGCTGATCTTACTATACACTCTCATCCCAAGTTATTTTGGCTGTAGATATACGCGTGAAGGAACCAACTCTGGAATCGTTGTGCAGGTCTCTAGTCAAATAATCGGCTGCCTCTTCTTTTAAGTTCAGCTTCGAAGAATTTACTGTGTGCATTAGTTTTTGTGTTTTTTGTGCTTCTGCAACTGCATAGGCTTACTACTGTTACTTGCCTCCCTTTCAGAGGAAAGAAGCAGTATGAACCGCCTAGATATATGTCGATAAACACTGCAATTGAGCAGCTTCTGGAGGTTGAGCACAATCGAGAAGAATCTGGTAACCATGCCATTTTTTCAGATCCTTACTTTCGAACATGAGTGTTATCTGTTGTCTGGCCTCTACACGATAAAACCATTGCTATATGTTTGATTTGTGCATTACGTTGCAGCATATAATGAAGACACGATGTGTGTTGGGCTTGCTCGGCTGGGAAGTGAGGATCAGAAGATCGTTTCTGGTACGATGAGGCAACTGCGGTCGGTTGATTTTGGGGCACCTCTCCATTGCCTTGTTATAGCAGGCAAAACTCATCCAGTGGAAGAAGAAATGCTGGATTTTTACAGACATTCAGAAGAGAATAATCATGGCACTGTTTGATTATAACGCTGATAGGACGGACTTTGGCTGATCCACTTTTCTACGGTGAACTGTTGTACTATATGCAGCAGAGACGGAAGAGGAACTTGACTTTCAAGAGAGATCGGAAGATGGGTTGCTGTGGATGCCAAATTGCTGCCGGTTAGCAGATCCCAAGTCATGCTGCACAATCCGATTAATTTTGTGGGTCGAGTTTGGTCGAGTTGCTGTAAGGCATTACCTGCTGTATTAATTTCACCTGTCTCCAATTTTGAGCAAATTATATTTATCGTGATCATTCCTCATTGTTTGGGTACTTATTTAGAGATGAATAACATTGAGACTTTGCTAATCGAACAACGATGAATGCTTGTTTGATTTCATTGATAATGCGAGATGAATACTTTCTGGGGCTCGGTGTTTATAAACTTTCACTAACAGAAAAGCCATATTATGAACATGTGCTATGAATTCATCCTAAATCTCTAACCAAAAGTTCATCCTCTAGTGTCGAGCCAAACTTCGTCCCTAACCTCTAACCATGCGTAGTTTTACTGCACTTCCCTCGCAACCAAGTCGACCTTATCTGATCGCCTTTCAAACAGATGAATGTCTCTCTCAAATTAGGGTCCTCGAACAGGTCTAGAGTGGCAAAGTAGAGTTCTTCGTCAATGCCTTGTATCTCATCCAGTGCTCTGATACAACTGGTAATGGAAAATCTGTCATCGCTAGGCATTGTTGCCGCTCTCCTCAACTTTGATGCAGCAATCATCTCCGAAAGGGCTTGTGCCATTGTATCACATATTTCTTGATCCCTTCTGCTTTGACCCGCGGAAGACTCTGCCTCAGCTGGACGTTTCCTTTTCCTATCCGCTATAACCTTGCCCACCTTTTCCGCTGTTGACGCTTTGCCTTGCACAGGCTCTGAGGATGATGGGATTTCAGAATGGGGGGCTTCACTGTCGGGACAGGAAATCAAACCTGCACTGTCTATTCCGGCAGACTTGTCCGACCCCTCGTAGTGACTAGACTGAGCATACTTCCCATCGGCTGCAGAGTCTGCGAATATCGTGCACAGCTGATCATATATCGGACAGTCCTTGACTTTAATCGTCTCAGGTTTAGTCTGCACCCCGAGGTCCTCCCACAGATGCTCAAACTCGATACAGCAAGAATCATCCAGAGTGAAGTCATTCGTTTGATCATAAGCCGACTTGAGGTTGTAAAACCGCGTCCTCAGAACATCCAAGTGCTTCCTCAACTGATTGTTGTTGAAGTTGAGATCCGTTTGCTTATTGAACTCATCGCGAATAATGTTCCAGGTTTTCTTGTCGAACACATTGTTCGGTCTGTTTCCCAACTGAATCTGCTTCACAACCAAGTCCGCGAATGTCTTATCGAGGGACGCTGTCCACCGAGTCCTCGAACGTTCTTGCTTAGGCTGACGATGACTAACTTCATTATCCATCTACAAGCCACGAAACTTGCATCTGAAAATCGATAAAATTCCGCTTAGAATGCCATCCCAAAACCCAAAACCCTAAACCGAGCATAAATCATCATTTTCACACTACAAATTTCACAAACAGCATTGAAATTAGTGGAATTATATGCCTCGAGTAAAAATTAAAATTCCCTAAACCCTTGATTCAACCAAACCAGAATGGCCGCGGAATAAAACCCTAATACAACTACGGCCGCGGATTAAAACCCTAAAACCAACAATTACAAACCCCCACACAGGAATTAAAGATCATAAAACCCTAATTATAATATCAAAAACTAAACACAAAAAAACAGTTCTTTCCCACACAACCTGATTCTACGTATTATGCAAATTCACATCAAAATTAAAAGAATTGGGGGAATTCAGTAAATATTAATCGGGAGAGAACAACCAGAACGCAAAATGCTTTGAAGACTGTGGAGAGGTTACCTGCGTCGTCCGGGATGCCGCCGCCGGAGAGTGTGCGTCTCAGCTACACAGGAGAGGAATTAACACAGAAATTTAATTAAATTTTAATTTTAATTTTTAAGTTATATGTCAACGATGACGGTGGCATATTTGACACCGACATTACATATTTCTCATGAGTCACGTTCCACTTTTAAATTTAGAGCATCTCCATAACAAATGTTAAAATCCTAGATTAAATACCATTGTGCATATTTGACATAAAAAATCTTTTCAACCAAGTGTTATTTACTGACTGAATTCGAAGGCTTTGTGATTAGGAGTTAAATTTGACATCAATGCACATTTATTTTTAATTGATTTTTGGGAATTGTAACGAAAAACCCTCAGTACTGCTTATTTTAACGAAAAACCACGTTTGTACACAAAAGTCAATCATGGTACTATTCATTTTACCTTTTATTTTGTCTTTATCGTTAAAACTCAAAATTTTCAAAGCATTTTCATTAGTTTTCTTTTGATTTTAATGGTGGGTTTCTTATTCCACTAACATTTCAATAAATAAAAATTTTGTTTCAACATTTAAAAAATAATAATTATAACCATTTAAAGCTCTATTTTAATAAGAAAAATAATATTTGACAATTCGGTTGGAAAAATACAAAATTTGACATAAAACTTCATATTCCCACATCAGCCAATTAATTACAATTTGACCGTTATAATTTGATATTTTCTTTGAAGACGGTCTTACATTTCAAAACATGATTACTGAACATTAGTATTTTTTTGTTTTGTTTTAGATGTGGGATCCAGCTAAAATTTA